CCCCCCCCCCCTCCCTCCGCTCTTTTCCCTTTCCGCCTCTTCGTGGATCGCGCGTTCGGTTTCGGGGCGGTCTCCTTTTTATTAGCGGCGATTCTAGCGTTGAGGAGGGGAGGAGATGATAACTATAGGTATCTTCGACGCTTTCTCGCCGTTAACTGACGCGCCCTCCTCTTGGGTATCGAGGAGTCCGCTGTTTTTCATCCGTCGGTTAGTAAAGACGCGTCCGTGCGCGGAGAAAAGAGAAAAACAGAAGAGAAAGTCGGTTGAATGAATGTGAACAGTGAACGAGCAAAAACGTTTCGGGAAGGAAACGGAATTTCCGGTTCTTGTAACCGAATTGGAAACCTCAAAAGAAGCAGAAATTCTGTTTTCTTTCGCGCGAAAACGCGCCTTCGGCTCGTTCATTATCCCGTCAATTCAAGCGATCCTTCCACGCCGCGTGTGTGCTTCCTTCCTTTTCCGCCCTTTTGCATCCGGCCGGCCGGCCGATTGATATCGTGTTCGTTGGTTATTATGTATCCCTCTCTTAATCGCGTTATATTTATGCAGTCCGCGATACTTACGTACGAGCGGTTACTTGAAATACCCCCTTGACACACTTCGCGTGACTTATCACGTAACGAGAAATGGCAGTGGAGATTTCACTCTGAATTGCGTTAACATAATTTCGTAAGCGTGGCTGCTTACGAGGAAACGTACGGAAACATACGGAAATACTCCGCGCTGTTTTTACTCTCAATTTGGTCAGAAAAGAAAAATAAAAGACGCGTATCTTTTTACACGTACTTTCCCACACGTTCGGGAGCTCGAAAACTCTTCGGAGGAAACCCGGTGAAATTTATCGCGGGTAAATATCCTCGGGATCGTTAGATATGCGGAGACAAAACACGTCTTGGAGAAATAGTTGTATGACATTGTTTATGCTCTTTAAAACTTTGCGTTGAGATTTTTCAAATATGTCACTTTTTAACCCTTGAACTTCCTTCAACCTTCGTGCACCTTCGACCCTCGCGTGACATTTTTTTAATTTTATATAAATATACATAAATCACGAAGTGTGTTAAATACCACAAGACTATTGAAAATATTCGCTCACACACTTCTCACAGTCTTTCTTCGATAAGCAAAGCTTATTAAAAAGCGGATGGGGGACGGTATGTTTTCTTGTTAGTTATATGAGACGCTCAACGTCTAAGTTTAACGCGTACCGCGTTTGAATATTCCGAGCAGCGAGGAATTTTTCTTCAACGTGAAGGACATACCGCGACACGAGCGACATTCGAGCTGCGACTTGAGAGAGAAGGCGCTCTGCGAATTACGTCCCAAGAATACGACGAGTGTGCGGAGATAATTATTCTTCGACTAATTCCAAGAGCAAACTTAATCTCGCTCGAATCTTGACTTACGGAACGGTCGTCGAGACTCTGCGAACCGGGAAAGTACGGGGCGCTCGATCGATTGCCGCGACTACGAGCTACTTCGCAGGACAAAAATCCTCTCGACGATGAGAGAGAGAGAGAGAGACGAAGAGCGATAGAAGCGTGTCGCTCCGTCGAAATATCGCGCGCTGTGCATCGCGAATAATAGACGCGGTTTCCCGACACAAAGCGCGGCGAGGGGCCGTTTAAGGGCGGCCCGCGGTCTGAGGGCACTTTTAGGGGCTCCGTTTGCGCCGACGGGCGAAATATCGAAAAAGCGGGCGAGAAACATAATTACGCTATTCGGCGGCGTAAGTGGCTGGAATGCTTTTCGCGCTGGAAGAAAAAGAAAGGAACGGACGCGCGCGCCGGCATTCAACGCCGAAAATCGAGGATGGTCATTTGCTGGGCACGCGAAGGGCTACACCTCGCCGTCGAAGTAATGACGCTTAATAATGTCCCACTGGGCCTCGTACGGATCCAGTTTGCGTCCCCCCATTTGAATACTCGAAAGCGTGTTCGCGGCGAACGGTGTCTCCCGAAGGAAAATTTATCGGAATTTGCAAGGCGGCACCGATTGCCCGGAATGCAACCTTCCCGAGGAAGCACGCGATTCTGCCGAAAATCCGAGCAACCCCGAAATCCCGGGGAGACGACGCGCTGGAAAACTACGGTCGAATAATTACTATTGTTTCGCGGCAGCTTTGTCACCTCTCCCGAGCGCGCCTTCGATATCTCTCTCTGAGTTCGCGGCTCGCTCGCAGCCGTTAATTATTCGGCTGGTCATCTCGGCCCCGAGGTTTGCGTATGATATCGCATCGCGTAACGTATCGTACATCGTGTTACATCCGGACGCGAACGATCGGAAAGTCAGCCGCGAGTTCGATCAATGTTAAGGCTTTATTGAAGCTCAGTCTGCCATAAAGCGCACTAGGGGACGCGAGATTCGCGCTCGCCGCGATATTTATAGCGGGCAGCGGCTCGAGAGATCAGACGCGGACGCCAA